TTCCCTTGGGTGAGGGTCAACTTGGCCCCACTGAGATCTCAGAAACAAAGTGAGCTAAAGACACCAAAGTAATAGGGTGTCTTTGCCTGTATGTGAACTCACTTACATCAAAAGTTGGAGTTCCTAGGTCATGACCTTAGGGTTGAATAAGTTCAAACACGTTCACACTCCAGATTAGTGTCCAAAGTGCCCCAGAACCAAGATACCTGTTCTCAGTAAAAATCATTGGTGCTCATTTAAGTTCAGTGACCTTGCCTGACCTTCTAGAGGTCATGTTAACCAAAATCATGCAAAAAATGCCTAGTTTTGCATTTGAATTAGGATCAATGATTACGCTAGGCAATCTGTTGCTAAAAACAAAATGTTGATCTAGGTTATTTTGTGTCAGTGACCTATCCTAGCCCTTAGGAAGTCTATGGAAGATATATAATGCAGTTCCTGTCATCAATAAATTCGGAATAACCACCAGAAACTACCCCATATAGCAATCTCTACAGTAATACAACAGGTTGGTTTGACCCAGGTTTGACCTTCAAATCTGACCCTACGCCAATGGAATTTGTTAATTCAATTGTTATGTTGCCTAAAAAGCAATCTCAGAAATGAAAAGCTTCGTTTAATACTCTGTCGTTGCATCAGATTGAAGGGCTCCCCAGAAATCGTCTTCGCTGAATCCATGGCCTGACTTTAACCCAACGTAGTCCAGCGACCTTACAAGGCATATCTATACTTTTGACACCAAACAATCCGCTATTCAATTGCCTACAATTATGAAAAATTTGGCACGGCTACACCGTGCCGTTTGGAAACGATTCTAGAAAATTATTCGGGGTCAGATTGACCACCAACCGAGCGCATGTTAAAAAATAACGGATTTTTTCTGTGACTGAGCATAAAGCGAATAGATTTACATCAGTTTGCGCTCAACCAAATATTTCGACTCCGACTGGTGTCAGTAGTTAATGGATAGGACAGGACAGGACAGGACCTTAGATAGGACATTTTGGAATATCAGGTTGAGATAGAACCTGCATAGTTGAGATGCAGTTATTTTGGTATTCCTGTCCCGAGGACGGCTCTGGTATTGTGAGCGCACCAATCATTCGATCAGGACGGAGAGGGCGGCACTGGTAATATGAACGTACCTGCCCAACGCTCGGAACCGAGTGGGCGGCACTGGTACTATGATCGTACCGATCCTGCGCTCGGGACCGAGCGGGCGGCACTGGTACTATGATCGTACCGATCACACGCTCGGTACCGAGTGGGCAGCACTGGTACTGTGAACGTGCCGATCACACGCTCGGGACCGAGTGGGCAGCACTGGTACTATGATCGTACCGATCCTGCGCTCGGGACCGAGCGGGCGGCACTGGTACTATGATCGTACCGATCACACGCTCGGTACCGAGTGGGCGGCACTGGTACTATGATCGTACCGATCACACGCTCGGTACCGAGTGGGCAGCACTGGTACTGTGAACGTGCCGATCACACGCTCGGGACCGAGTGGGCAGCACTGGTACTATGATCGTACCGATCATACGCTCGGGACCGAGTGGGCAGCACTGGTACTATGATCGTAGCGATCATACGCTCGGGACCGAGTGGGCAGCACTGGTACTATGATCGTAGCGATCATACGCTCGGGACCGAGTGGGCAGCACTGGTACTGTGAACGTGCCGATCCTGTTTGACTTGTCGTCAGTTGACTTCTCGCAGTTTGTTTTGTGACCGTGTTGACTCGTGTCCCTTTTCCCATTTGACATTGCACCAGGGCACCAAACAGAATGTGACTCAGGGAGCACGTTATCGTACGTGACGCACGTAGGCATGATCCGACAGCCTCGTTAAGGCGGTGCCCCACACGATCCGACAGCCTCGTGAAGGCGGTGCCCCACACGATCCGACAGCCTTGTGGAGTCGGTGCCCCACACGATCCGACAGCCTTGTGGAGTCGGTGCCTCGCACGGTTCGAAAGCCTCGTGAAGGCGGTGCCCCGCGCGATCCGACAGCCTCGTTAAGGCGGTGCCTCGCACGGTTCGACAGCCTCGTGGAGGCGGTGCCCCGAACGGTTCGACAGCCTCGTGGAGGCGGTGCCCCGAACGGTTCGACAGCCTCGTGAAGGCGGTGCCCCGAACGGTTCGACAGCCTCGTGAAGGCGGTGCCCCGCGCGGTTCAACAGCCTCGTGAAGGCGGTGCCCCGAACGGTTCGACAGCCTCGTGAAGGCGGTGCCCCGAACGGTTCGACAGCCTCGTGAAGGCGGTGCCCCGAACGGTTCGACAGCCTCGTGGAGGCGGTGCCCCGCACGGTCCGACAGCCTCGTGAAGGCGGTGCCCCGCACGGTCCGCTAGCCTGGTGATGGTGGTGGCTCCGCACGATTCGGCAGTCTGGTCGACGCGGTGCCCTGCAAGGTTCAACAGCCTCGTGGAGACGGTGCCCCCGCATGGTTCAACAGCCTCGTAGAGACGGCGCCTCCGCACGGTTCAACAGCCTCGTGGAGGCGGTGTCCCCGCATGGTTCGACAGCTTCGTGGAGGCCGTGCCCTCGCACGGTTCGAAGTCTGATGGAGGAGGTGCCGCCGCAAGGTCCACCCGTCTGGTGAGGGTGGTACCGCTGCACGGTCCGGCAGCCTGGTGAGGGTGGTGCCACCGCCCGGTTCGGCAGCGGAGCGAGCTGACACCGCCGTGCCGCAGGTCGCCTGGCTCGAGGCAACGGCGCGGCATCGGGGCGTCGGCGGCAGGCGCCGCGTCCCAGATACGATCAATACAGTGAGTGGAAGTCACCGGCCAGTGATCTGCCATGCCGGTGAACAAACAGGGGGCGGGACCTGCTCTTGATGGAGGGGTTGAGGGATGGCACGGGGAGGGCGGTGACTCCATCCGGCTGCTGCCACCGTCGTACGGCAGCAGCATGGATAGCACCGGGGCGACACCATCAAGCAAAACACCCGCCGTCGCCAGCGCGGCGCTCGAAAGCAGGCCTTAGCGGGATTATGGCTACGGCGCTGGTGTTTTGTCGGCCGGCGATGATAACGTCGCCGCGTCCCCTCCGTCCCTTCTCTCCAGACACGGCGAGACGATTTATCGTTCCGCAGATCCCTTTTTATTTCTGGGCCACGAAATGAAAATCAGAATGGTTCCCCGAGGGCCAAGCGGCAATATTTCAGGCTACGTCGTCCAGTCTTTTTTGCGACGGTGAGACCCAATAGAGAAAAGAACGGCCACACACCAAAGAGCAATGCTCGAAGCCAGGTTTCTCCTCGATATCAAAACGCAACAAATTGGTTTAAAGTCGTTTCCCCTGCCACATCGATCACAACCCGCCGTGGTCGAAAGAAATGATTGCCTGATTCGGTATACTGCGGCACTGAGTACAAACTGCAGAGTTTGCTCGCTTTGGCTCCGCATGAACCGAACGATCAGATGCCAACTGGCCAGTGCGGGATGACTCAGTGTGGACCGGTGGTTTTGTAGCACTTCACAGCAGGGCAACAACCCCGCCGCAGGCCTGCCAGAATAAAGTGGCCCGTAGGTATAAATGTCCCAGGATTGGAACAAGACAACTTCGATCACGGAAGTTCATAGTAAACCCAACAAGATCTGTGGCGCAAATCCTCCCGAGTTCAAACCGCCCGAAAAGATGAAAAAAATAACATAATATCTGATAGTTCAATGGTGCACGCGTTGCAGATTTATCGACTTATCCTATCAATGATAAAGGACAATCATGTGAAGTGTGGTACATAGTCGTTACTCATGCTTAGAACATGGCCAAAGGGGTGAATATGATTCAGCCCGCATCTTCTACAGGACTGAAAAACAGACAAGCTTAGTTTTTTTTAACAAAAAGGTCGCGTTCCCAACGCTTTGGCTAACTTCTGAACTCGCTGATCTTCATACAGATCAAAGACAACTAAAAAAGCATATACAGAACGTCAAAGGGACAGATCAAATAACGATAAAATCTCACACACCATTGGCCGCTTTCAGCCAAATCATCATTTCATTCCCTAACTCTCTCCTTTTTCCCCCTCTCAGAATTCTGACACCAAGTGGAAATACACCATTGATAAAATTATTGTGAAACAGGTAAATATTGGTTTTTTGTTTTGAGCTCTTGTAAATGTGATTCTCATTTGTGGAACATTCTTGCGTGTGCGTCATGCCATGATGTGGAACGTAATAAGGGCATATTATCTGTTAAGGGTATAGCGTAGCCTTTATATAGCCAGCCTACATGTTCGTAAGATATGATATTCTAAATCGCCATAAATCATTAGCGGAATAAGATCGTAATATGCATATAAGATAATGTGATGCAGTCACGGCAAAACTGGTACAAACAAACGGACATACAGTCAGTGATATTGCTCATAAATGATCTCGCTTCAGGGCACGTTGACGGCGATAAGACACATTTAGTACAAATATAAGCACTTGTAAGTCAACATGCAGTTCTTTCATCAACGGCATATTTCCACGTGATGTAAACATTCGGTGAGTAAGAGGAGAAGGAGGGAGATGAAGAATGCATTGATGGTGTGGCTGAGGAAGGTCTCACGATGTGCAATATTCTATTCTTGGATCTGTCGATTCTATGTTATATATATGCATTGTTGTGGCAGTGGATTTTACACATAAGAATGCCGGCGAAATCAGATCTTAACCAAATATTGACCTCGTGAACATTTTTCTAACAATGTCTTCTTGTGCCGACTTTTCAGCCCTGAAAAGCCGCAAAACGGCACACATTAGCTCTCTTTGTTGGCCCATTTTCTATGACATAGTCAAAGACTATTTACTATGCTTCGCCTGTGCTCGAAAAAAACAACATCCAAACTACAATTAAGACAATGGTCTGGTCATGGTAGGATGATCCCTGTCCCAAAACACAGCTTGAACTCGCAATAGGTACAACCTCATAAGTCAGCGAAGGCCCAGTGTGGTAAGTGACGTTCGCCGCCCGGACCCACGCCGGCGCCTCGCTGCCCACTCACCGAACTCATAGCGCCAGAGTTCACCGGTGGAGCCCAAGAGGTCGCGGTAGCCGCCGTACAGGTACATGGCGTCGGCGTGCACCACGGCCGAGTGACCCCGCAGGCCCCTGGGTGACCTCTGGGCGGTCGGCGGCGACGCCCGCTGGCCGCCGCGGGCAGGCGTCGGCCTCGACGACAGCTTGGTCCACAGGTTCGACTGGAACAGGGCGAGATATGTGACGTGCGGTGACGCAACTGTCGGCGATGGTGATTGATGCGGTTAGTAATGGTGAGCATGTGAGACGCAGGGACGATTTCAAAGTGAGCGACGTACGAAAAGCGACTTGCAAAGCTCGCCTCCCCCTCCCCATTTTCTCCCAAAAGTCTGACAATTCCGCTTTCAAATTCAGCGAAAAAGGATATTTGCCCTACTTAAATATGCATTGCCGATGTCAACACGTGCCCTGTTCCGAAGTCAAATAGAGGAACAATACCGAAAGATTTAATTTCCTTGAGCCGCGAAATTTTCGTATCCCTCGCATCACATGGTTTTATAGTATATTTTATTCATAATCTATATGCATTTCCTATCTTAAGTGATAATGCACTAACGGTTTCCTACAAATCACGTTACGAAGTGTCTGCAAAACGACTTTACAAAAGTTTGATTGCACAAGCTCGTTGCCTCTAATGGCGCAAGGTGCAGCAAGATTTATGGAAGCTTCCAATATTCCAAATGGAGGAACGCTACCCATTTGCCAAGCTTTCTCCATCTGTGATTTTCCAGGAGAACAGTTTTCAAGCAATCGAGGATCTTTTACAGTTTTCTGAGCAGCCGTTTATAATTTTGGACTAATTCCTGCCGTTTGCGCAAATATCTCTTGGATTGTTCGTCCTCGGAAACACGGAAATTGTAATGTTAAGACATTATATTTTCTGGGCACTTCCCCGCCATATTTTAAGCAAAACTTGTAGTTTTCTCCATCTCCAGTCTTGTCGACTGTTTTTTTTTTCGGGGGGGGGGGGGCTTACTGGGTGTGATATAATGGGAGAAAGTAATTTTCTCCAGCACACGGAAAAGCCCAAAAATATGGCGTTCTTACATTGCATTAGCTCGTAGTTGTGATACAAACCTTCCTATCCGTTTAAATCTATTTCAATCTTGGATCTTAATCAGATCATCCACCCTAAGATTCAAATCTCAAAGTGCAGCGACATCCTAGCTCTACTTATCTCACTCCTCGCCCCAAGCCAGCAAGACTCCCTACTCTGGGCGCGCGGCCTGGCGCAGCCCAGCGCGCCACTGCGCGCGCCTTACCCGGTGTCAAACCGACCGTTTCCGGTTCAAACCGGCTTATCCACGGACATCCGATGCGAAGATGAGGCCGACGACCCCTCCCTGGTAGCGTGCGGCGGACGGGGCAATCAGGCTGCCGACGTCGATTCATTTCAAACGATTTACGCAGCTCTGATTGCACGCGGAACGACCGACGCCGCGCGAGATCAGAACCGAGTGTTCCTCGGAGCGCAAAGCCGCCGACGAGGAACCGATTGCTCAGATCAGACGGCGGTGACGGTTGGCTGGACGCCTTCGTGAGCAGTTAAGGTGCTGGTATATCGCGGGATTTACAGGCAGACAATGAGTCTGATTTTCCCACCCAAATGTATTGTTTAGCTGAAACGCGTTACTCAGGATTACGCCCATTTCTTCCATATTATACCTCAAGATGGCGCGGAAACTTGACGAGCGATGCAGAATCGGATATGGGCCCAACCCGCGTGACAAATGATGTATGTGTTTTTTTAAACACTTGCATTACAAATAATAAAGCTGTTCTTTCAGCTGTAGTATGGCTAGCCTACCCCTAGCGATGTATTTTCAGACTTAAACTTCATACCTACCCATCACCCATGAACAGTTGACCGAATGACCCCCCCCTGTCCACCGCGGCACACAAAACGCTGCGTTAATGCCGGCATTAGTAACTGGGAAGTTGAAGGGCGCGGCACTTCCGCCTAACAAATGTGAAACCTACTAAGCAAAACAAAAACAAAAAATCAACGGAACAGCAAGCAAACAAAAAAGCAAAAAAGGTTAAAAAGGTAAAGGGTGAAAACAAAAAGCAAAAATAGGGTAAATCAGTCACCATTAATATTGTTACCTACTAAGCAAAACAAAAACAAAAAATCAACGGAACAGCAAGCAAACAAAAAAGCAAAAAAAGGTTAAAAAGGTAAAGGGTAAAAACAAAAAGCAAAAATAGGGTAAATCAGTCACCATTAATATTGTTATGAAAGTAACTGTCAGTGAGAGATAATTTAAAGTAGCCAGTTTCAACGGTGACTAGTGGCTTACACCATCACCCAATTAGTAGAGAGTTGCAGAACGACGTCAGGCTACTGAAATACAAAGTTTCTAGAGACAGAACGATATCCCAGTCTTGTTGTGTGCGCGCCGCCACCCCCACCATCCGCCAACTACGCAGGTCTGATGTCAGGTGGTGTCAGAAAAGCCGATGTGTCAGTCAGGGTGGCGCCGTTGTGGCGCTTTGCGGAAGACGAAGTGAATCTGATACACACCGCAATGCATGCCCATGCAAACCAACGTCACACACGTAACTCATTTAAATGTATGTACGTATATATGTATACATATATATATATATATATATATATATATATATATAAATACATATATATTCATATTATAATATATTCAACTATCTATACTCTCCCTCTCTCTCCTCCTCTCTCTCACCCATTCCCATACCCACACGCGCACACTTATACACCCATCTACGCTTATACGGCATGGCCCGTACCGTATGCACGATGGCAACCCCATTTGATTTGGTGCCTTATAGCTGGTGGTGCAGAAACAGTGAGATTACCAAGTCCGTTTGCTTGGCTAGGTACTCTCAGCACTCACGAAACATCCACACGCTCATACGCTAACATGCTCCAAAGCTCAGGCTGACTTCATTGCGAGCTCAGGGAGCACGCCTGGGAGGCACAGGCTTCACTGGATAATGGAGTTATGATTTGCAGAGCTCCAGCCAACGACACTCCATCACATGCCAGTGACAGGGCGTGGGACTAAATCACGCGCTTCAGGCAGAATGTTGCAGGCTTGGTGAGAAAGTTGACTACCTGATTTAGCCTTTCTGGACTGGCTGGTTCCAGCGCCAGTTCGCCTCCCACTTACGACAACAAACTGCTCGAGGTTCGCAGCTGTTCCCGGGACATGACCGGATGGGATGTCACTCGCAAACTGCTCGAGGTTCGCAGCTGTTCCCGGGACATCGCCGAATAGGATGTCACTCACAAACTGCTCGAGGTTCGCAGCTGTTCCCGGGATACGGCCGAATGGGATGTCACTCACAAACTGCTCGAGGTCCGCAGCTGTTGCCGGGACATGACCGGATGGGATGTCACTCACAAACTGCTCGAGGTTCACAGCTGTTCTCGGCACATGACCGGATGGGATGTCACTCACAAACTGCTCGAGGTTCGCAGCTGTTGCCGGGACATGACCGGATGGGATGTCACTCTAATTCCCGATGACGACATCGTGGGTGCATCTCCCATGGCTTTGATGTTCATGTCCTATCTAAACCACGACTGGACGGACATACCTTTTTTCTCGCGAATTTCTGGCAAGTGTGATTTCTTCAGTTCCTAACAACTTTAACCTAATGAGCACGTTTTTCTCTCAGGTTCTCGTGGATGATATGCCTGAGCCGTCAGCTTGCTTGAATTTGCCTGGTAGACATTATCCTGATCATCTAGAACCTAGACCCCGACCAGCATTCTTTTTTAGACGGGGGCTTGGCGCGCCAACTCTTTTCCTTCACATCTACATTTAGTTTTTCCCCGATAACCTTTAGGGTCATAGCCCTAGCTTCTGCTGGAGGTTCTTCAGGCTTTGTTTCTGAAGTCCACATCCATTGAGTATGTGACAGCAGTTTCTAGGATATTGCTCAGTTCCATGGACCAATGCTTCACGTTTACGACCAGCTTGCGCAGGTCACGACTTTCAGCTCTTAATGCAGCTAGCTCCCGCTTAAAGGGTTCCACCTCCTCACCTACTGCTCCGACAACAAGCTACCTGATCAGTTCGATTTCTCTCCATGAACTCCCTGATTATCGACGTCAGAGTTACGTTAAGGCTCCACTTCCAGCGATCGAAATGCAGCAAAGATGAAAGGCCTATCCCTTTTTCTCCCCGTGCGATTAAGCCAGTGACACAAATCTGGCGCAGGAGTCAGCGCGTAGACGTCTCCGAATGCGCCGCATACGCCGCAACAGGACACGTCCTCTCCTGACGACTGCCCAAGAGAGAACAAGTATGGTATGGCGTGGTTGGACATACGTATGGTTACTGGGCCATTCCCGACAAAAAAAAACCTATACCACTCCTATCGACTTCAGCATGGGGCACTGTATGTTCATATCCTGAACAGAACTGAGCTAACATAACGATACTTTTTAAATGATTGCAATAAGAATGCAGTTGTAGTTCATAAACGCCACACACTAATGCACCTAGGGTTGATTTATGGCTTGTCTAGCACATGATAAACCAGCACATGTGCTGAATCAACACTCCAACCAGCAGTCTGAAATCCCATGCAGCTTCTGACAGGACAACGACCTCGCCAACATCGAAACTAAATCAGCTGTGCAGCCAGGGGAGGAATATGAGGAGACACCGCTCGTATCAATATGTACACGTTTCAGGAAGCATTTTGCACGCAGGTGCAGATACCTTTATTTATTCTGCTGATCATACGGGAAATGCAAATTATCTTTAAAAAGTTTCGGCTCTGAAACTCCAACAAAACAGTCAACACCTATCGAACAACAACGGATGCGCAAAAAATGCTCCAAGCTTATCTCCGGCGTCCCTTTCAGCCTCGTCCTAACAAAGCCCCCGGAGAGTTGGAGAATTGGAGCGGACTGAAGCCAACCTCCCTCGAGACAAAACACTAGCGCACGTCATCCCGGGAGGCAAAGCCCGCCGGCCGACGGCTGCAGCCGGGAGAGAGCGGCCAGGCCGGTTCGCTGTGTGAGCGTATCTTCTCTTTGTCTCAGCGTGGGTCGCCAGGTGGGCGTGTCTGCTCTCTGTCTAAGCGGCGAGGCCGGGTCGGCAGGCGGGCGTGCATGCTCTCTGTTTGAGCGTGGGTCGCTAGGCGAGCGTGCATGCTCTCTGTCTGAGGGGAGGGGGGGGGGGGGGGTGGGAGAGGTCGCCAGGCGAGTGTGTCTGCTCTCTGTCGGGGTCGCCAGATGAGCGTGTCTGCTCGTGGTCCCCAGCGGCGAGCGTTTCTAGTCAGATGAGCGTGCCTGCTCTCATTCTCAGCGGCGAGCGTGTCTCTCCAGGCCCCTCTCCAGCCTGAGGGCCGGCTCCTGACGGGCCCGCCCTCCGGCGGAGATCGCTAATTGGGCCGTGGAGTGGCCCGCCTTCCGCCCCAAAGCGCTGAGGGGCGGCCGGCGCTGCACGCCCGGTCCGTAACAAGCAGCCAGAGCGGTCCGGCGACGGAAATGGCCTACTTCCGGGCCGCCCGCCGTGCCGCCAATGCCGAGGCGGCAGTGGGGGGGGGGGGGGGGGGATGGGATGTACTAAGGAGCGTACTTACTACATAATGAAATGCTGTTTTCTAGAGGGGCATTTTGCACTTAAAAACATACCAATAGTCACAAGTGAGCTTATTTCATGATATCTAATGTTTGTCTCAATTTCTTCAAAAGTGGAACATTCCGTTTAAGCAAACATGACACAATTTTCCGAGATTGCCTGCCCTAGTTATAATGTTAGATCCACCATTGGTGCGGATGTGAAACAAAACATGCGGAAGTCATCTGCGAAGATCCGCCACACCCCTCGCGAAATCGAAACATATCATTTGCTATGGTCCGCTATGCCACGCTGCAAAAAGGTGTTTACAAGGCTCCAGCATGCTTACGCTCTGCGGCAGAGGGCAGCGAACTTGGTCTGAGAGATCCCCACCAGCAAAGGCGAAGACAGCGTGCGACGAAGGTGAGCTTGAGAACAGCATCTGGACATGGCATTTCCAACCTAGCTCTAACTTCAAGTAACTATATCTAGAAGGTCATGATCTGCCAAGATACATGCCTAAGCACTAACTGAAGGATGCACAAGCTCTTTAGCGATGAGTCATTTTTCGCCCTGCCACCACCACCATCGCCACAAAGCGGCAGTGGTAACGCGCGGACGTCTGGTTCACCTTGGTATCGTAGCGCCAGAGAGGCGTCTCGGCGCCGCTGGAGAAGCCCACCTCTCCGCCGAACACGTACAGCTGGTGCTGCCAGCCCACCATCGTGTGCTCCTGCAGGTTCAGCGGCCGGCTGCCCTCGGCGCGCACCTCCTCCCACTGGCCCCCGTCTGGAAAGGAGCGCGGCACTCAAACGACCGCCGCCGACACCACCGCACCGCCAGCCGGGGTCACACAGGGACGCGGTGGGCGGGGCCATCGCCCGTCGTGACCTGTTTCTATGGTGCACGGCGAGGAAGCATCCCCGTCGGGACCGCAACGGATCGGGTGCCCCGTCCACCAGAGATACATCAAAGGTAGGGTACGGACAAAGGGCACAAACGAAGATGACATACCGGAGGTGTGGTACGAACACCAGAGGGACGGAGATGGGGTGCCCCGTCCACCAGAGGCACACCGCAGGTAGGGTACGGACAAAGGGCACGAACGAAGATGACATAACAGAGGTATGGTACGAACACCAGAGGGACGGAGTTCGATTCCCGCAGTGTCCGCTATCCCTGCCAGGATGGCAAGGATGGCGAAGCCATATAGCCTCAACAGCTGATTACGTCGGAAACCCCAGTGGCAATCGGGAACCACTGTTGAACTGTTGAACAGCGTGGAGACACCCCTCACCAGGACACAGGACAGCACTGGTTAGTGATTAAATCGCTCCACTGTGTCCGCTCGCCAAAGTCGCTGCGAAAGTAACACGCATTGCGGATGAATTCGTCGTCGCGGACTGCGCGTATAAATTTCTAACATTTTTAGCGGACGCTTAATTATCATTATTCAAAAGACGTGTTCCCGTATTCAAATCACAAATGAAGAACGGCCAAAACGTGGTTGATGTAAAAGAACACGGAAAACGTCTGGGGCAAAGGTCCGCTATCTCATATTTTTAAAGGTTCCAGGTTCGTCTGGGAACGTGACAGAGACGACTTGACATGCTTTGCTGCTATGTGTCTCCTTGATGCGTCTACACCTGCAGCACATGCATGCGATAATTGCATTATGTTGCTAAGGGATATACTAATATGAATTCATCCGGCTCTTGGCTCTGGCCCAGGGTGGACGAGGTCCGGGGCCCCCGCAGCTGCACTGCGTGACCGCACCAGCGGGCTCTGTGGCCACGGGGCCGTGTCAGCGGGCTCTGTGGTGATAAGGCCGTGTCAGCGGGCTCTGTGGTGATGAGACCGTATTAGCAGACTCTGTGGTGATAAGGCCGTGTCAGCGGGCTCTGTGGCGATGAGACCGTGCCAGCGGGCTCTGTGGCAATGCGTGTCTGAGCTGGGGTTCGTGCCGCCCAGAGAGTCCAACGGCGACATGAAGTGAATTGTTCTGAACACTTCACACCGACAGATGAGCGGCGCGATGCTTACATGAGAAGTGAGCTGGATATAGATACGGTGAGTGAAGAGTAAATCATGGACGAAGTGAAGAAAATGGTCTAAGCAACGACGACGCCGACGTTTTCCTTGAAACAAGCGAAACGGCTAGCAAGGCGGGTCAAAAGCAGGAATCCGTAAAATAAATGTCACAGAGGATTCGCATGGTTCAGTAAATGAAAGCTTCCTGACATCCAAATTTAAGTCACGCGATGACCTTCATCAGATAATGAAAATCACGCATCGAAAAGCGATTTTGATAGAACAGACAAAAATTATCACTGGCTGCTAAGAAATCGAAACAAAACTGGAAGCCGCCAAAGTGAGGCTGGAACAAAAGGTAGTGGACCTGAAATCGCACGCAGCCGAACATGACCAGATTGACAAGCTTAGTGTACAAGTGACCTAAAAGTGTAAAAGTGACAAAAAAAAATGTAAAAGCGACCACCTCCAAGCCAGTGACAAGCCACGCAGGACGCCGCTGCGCTCAGACGCATGCGATGCAAGTCGTCCGAGATGATCCCCGGCACGCCGCCCTGGCTCCGACGCTGGCGGCCGACCCAAGCTCAGACACACGCGATGGAAGTCGTCCGAGCTGATCCCCCGGCACACCGCCCTGGCTCCGCCGCTGGCGGCCGGCCCAAGGGAGTCCGTCCGTGACGTCATACAGCGGGCGTTTCCACTGGTGGAGGTAGTGCCCGAAGACCTGGCAGCCGTTAGCCTTAACAGCGCCAGGGCACCCCTCTGCAGGCTTCCGCAAAGGCCCCGGGGTCACTAAGGTAGCGTCTCTGCGAGAACGGAATGTTGTTAAAAAGTAAGCGGGATGGATGACAGTGAGCTGTTCAAAAGGTCAGCGGGATGGATGACAGTGAGCTGTTCAAAAGGGAAAGCCAGACGCAAGGTAAGCGAAAAATCTTCAATCAGCTGCTTCAGCTGCAAAAAAACCGTCGGTGGCAGTAATGCGTGTTCAGTCGTAACATGGCGGTGTCCTGTAAGGGAACGGCTCGGAAAATGGCGGTTGACAGTGCTGAGAGAATCAACGACCTGGTCCGTGGCTAGACGGTGGCACCAGGCTCACGCGACTTACGCAGCCATCACGTTATGCTGGCAATGATCTATATATATATATATATATATATATATATATATATATATATATATATATGTATATATATGTATGTATATATATATGTATATATATATGTATATATATGCATGTATATATATATATGTATATATATATATATATATATATATATAGGTATATATTTGAGGTAAAGTAACGGTCCTCGGGTCGCAACATGTATAAAGATATATGTGTATATATATATATATATATATATATATATATATATATATATATAAGTGGTATAGCAACGCTATTATTATAATGACCGGATCGGCGCAAGGGCTCGTATTCGGTAATGCTGAGCTGGTTTCGATGTCTGGCCCAGTACAGAGGTACATCAGGCCTGTCATTAAACAGAAGAGGAACAAGAGGGCTTTGGACAGGCAGGAATACAAAAGAGTGGATTATTTATCTAGTAGCATGCTGGGCGGGACCGCCTTTTGGTTACACGCAGTTAATGCCTGAATGGATGTGGTCCACTCAAATCAACCCAAGTTATCGGCAGGCAGCATATCAATGGGCCAAGGTGGACCATGAAAAGAGCCGAACCACAAATGTAAATCGATTAATCCATCGATCTGTGCTGCAAATAATCAACATCTACAACATTCGCGGCTAAAAATTTCTTAACGAGATCGACCTTCGTCTCGAACATGGATATGGTACTTGAATGAGGTGGCAGTCGATTTATCACGCCATATCTCCCTCCTGGAAGGAGGTCCTCGCCCAGGAGAAGCCTATTAATAACGCCTTCCTGACGCTTTCGAGCAGCTTAACAAGTGTATCGGAGCAGCAAAATTTGGGTATGATTCACTGCTGTCAGCAACGCACATTTCGCAACCTGTTAAATCACAAAAGAAATGAGAGCATAAACTGCGGGCGACGAACCGAAATCAGTAGACTAAAATATACAGATAATTCTATGTCAATTCAATTCTATTCAATTCTATATCACAACAGATGACTTCAAACTGAGGTGGCTGCAAATCAGAAAGCTGCATAGATTCTGCCAACGAACCAATTGCCCCACCTCCTCGGAATCCCAGCGACCGATCAGTGCCAGGGTTGCCGGAACTACGCGGGGGCATTTGCATAATTCCAGGCTTGGCTCTCAGTCGATGGAATTCTGAACGGACTTGATCGTGGAGCGCCGCTTACCGAAACCTTTTACAGTGCGCCACGTTATCACGAACAGATTGACCTCCGTTGATCGTGATGAAGCCCCTGCCCCTGTCTGCTATTTCCGTATGTGTGATGTTAGCGTTTCCCGTTCATTTCAAGAGTTTATTAAATAATGTATTTCGCAGTGTCGCAATCAGGAACGTGATCCGTCACTTGCAAGGTCCAATCCTTTTGTGCACAGTTAAGGTGAACAATGTGCGGCGTTCAGCACGAGAACGCTGACCAAGTTCGCTCGCACGTGGTCTTTTTTCGACATCTAACAGTCTGGTGTTAGGATGGCTTTGTGCTTACAGGCTTCCACAACTGAATGTGAGGAAAAAGGGAACACGATCGACAGTCGCATCTTGTGACATGTGATGGTGTATAGTATGTTATACGTTGGAATAAATGGGGGAAATGATACAAATGCACAAATGTGAATCCAAATCAGTCCAAGCGACCCGCAACAGGATCACAATATTGACATCATCAAATGCTCACGATATCATAACGAGAATATTGCCTCTTCTTGACAAAGGCATTGGAAGAAGCACCACTCATAAAAGAGGAGCAGGGCGAGAGCACCGAGCAATAAGAAGCAGCTGTGTCCAGCAGGAGCCTTGTTTTTGTCAGCTCGGCACAAAACCTGATCCGAGTCTGCAAACTACATAACTGATTCTCTTCGTGGCCAGAACGGCTGGGAAGGGGGGAGGGGACGCTGCGGTCCGGCTACTACTTTGGTATAACTATATGGATCCCATCACGGGGGCTACACTGACCGTAGTCACACATCACACCACCGATGGAGACGCCACGCAAGAATCGAACACGTTGCTAAGGACGCCCTGACGTCGGGAACTTTGTCGAAGTAAAGATGCCATACTTCGGATCCGGAGAAGCGCAATCAGGCGCGCCGGCGCCTCACAACTGTGCGCGGAACATGACAGAGTTGGTGCTCGACTCCGACCAACGTCGTTAAAAGTCACCCGTCGTTGCGTTGTTAAAAGTCCCCCGTCAAGAGCCCTCTATTGGTCCCGCCAACAATACGCACCGCATGTTCACAGTCAAATTTGATCAGTTTCTGTCATCGCCATTGGAATGAGAGAGCCACCGTAACGTTTAACACTGACGCACGGCCGAAAGAGGTATAATGCAACGATGCGTGATCCAAGCGTAGGCGAACCACCAGAGCCAAAAAATTAATGACGTCGAACGACGCAGGACGCATCACCACCTAGTTGGTCAGGTAAACGGGACGGGATATCAGGCAAGACAGCGTCACGCGCTGGAGCCTGCGGTCTCCACACGACTGTGAGGAACGCAGGCGGCGGCAGGGGCGGGGCCTCGAGTGAGCAGCGGACAGCCATCGCTCCCAGCGACCAGACACGGGTATCAGCGACAGGCGCTGCCTCATCAGCCCCACGGGACTGTCCCGGGCCACTTCGACAGG